CAGCATCCCATGTCCGTGATTTAAGTGACAACAATTTATTTTTTTTGTATTATTGATGTGACAATTGTAGTTTGTGTTTATAAAAATTCAAGATCACTATCAAGTACCAACCATATATATGGTAAAATCCATACATAAAAAGTATATTACATTGCAACTAACATGAGCTTGACACTATACACATTATCCAACGATATTACTGGTAATAACGTTTAGATAGCATTGCTCGATTGAGATCCTCACAACATATTCCTTCAAGATATTACAGAACTTGTACATTTTATGCTATTAAATAGCATTATAATTCCAAATCTATCATTCAAAGATGGAATAGTACGTCTCCAAAGTACCTAGAAGACATCATAAAGTATGTTCTTCCCTCTTGTAAAGGAAAAGCATCTCAATTTAGCTTCAAAGGATATTCATTACTATATAAAGTAAGGCAAGTAATTCTTCCAGAGTCATGTCAATTTAACCGGCCGCCAAATTGGATGATCGATCAAGTCAAAACTAGTCTGACCAACAGTCAGATGGGTGTCGGACAAGATTTAAAAAAAAAACGAAAATAAAAGATGAATAAATAGACCAAATAAATGAAACATGCCATCAAAAAAATTGCAAAAGCTATTTTGATTGTCAACCAACTCAAAATCAGTCAGTTCGACTAGCCAAAACCCATTCAGTCCAGTCTTGCTAACCATGTTTGTACACTTGTAAGGGCCATAAAAATGACGTACACCACAATGTGTGTCTCCCAAGTCATGGAACTTCGCTTCTCATGGCCTTGCAAGCCAAAAGTACCAAAGGATTGATAGCCATGCAGCCAATATACAATAACAATATCTAAAATTCAAATAGTTGTACACTTGACACTAACAGATGTAAAAGGCTTGTAGAATTTCTCATTTTGTGTGTGTGTGTGTGTGTGTGTATATATATATATATATGGGAAAAGATCTTGTGCGCCAAGTGCGTACTGCTACAGTAAACACCCACAACCCAGATTGAATCTGGGCTGATCTGACGATCACGGATGTTCGATAGTGTTTGAATTTTAATTTTTTTCTACAAATCCAAATTATTTGAAATTTTAGGCATGTATTCTTCAAATATAGGCGAATCTACGAAAAATATCAAAAAAAAATACATGAAATAAATTAACCAAAATACCCTCAAAATGTTTCGGGGGGTATTTTGGTCAAAACAATTTCGCGAATTATTTTTTTTTTACATTTTATTTGGTATGCCTTGATGAAGAAGAACACATGCCTAAAATTTCAAGTGATTTGGATTTGTAGAAAAAAAATTAAAATTCAAAAACTATCGGACATTGTGAGCGTCAGATCGGCCACAGAATGGCCCAGATTCAATCTAGGCCATTCGCGTATGGGCGTACAGCAGTGACTCCTTATATATATATATATATATCTTTTGTAGCATTTTACAACACAATCAGACTCAAGATCAAGTGTTGTTTGTTGCAATGGTAAGTGGACTAATTAGACTTTCCACCAAACCCAAGTTTCAAAATTCGGCATCGATTTGGGATATAAAAAGCCCTGAGTACAATAGCTGGTAGACTTAAAATATTCAACAGTTCATAACACACAAATTTCACAACAAATTCTGTTAAAAAAAATATCATGCACTTGTTGATTTTGAGCAATGAATTATGTTCCGTCAAATAGATTAATGATACATTGGGAAACCAAGAACTTCCATTTGCAGAATCCATGTATGAGCTTCTGGAAACCTAAAACTAATTTGGAATTCAAATGGCATAGGTTCAGTATGTGCCAAATTGATGTGGAGTTTACCAATATTGCAATGACTAGATTAGGATCTAAAGATGTGTTATATTTTTAATACGCTTATCATAGTTATCAAGACTGGATTGGAGTGGCTGATATAGTGCCTTGACTAGTTCAATCCAAGCAAAAACCAAATTGCGTTAAAAAAAAAAAAGGGTCAAAACTAATGCTTGACAAGTTTTGACCGATCAAAACAATCAATTCTAGCCTGTTGGACTGGCCAAACAAGGTTTTCCTTATCTTTCATGACATAATTCCTTCTTTGACTATTTTTCCTTGTTTTGCTTTATTTTTAAAAATCAACTCCAACCAGTCAAACCAGTTCTGACTTGACCAAATCCGTCATGGGTTTGGTGAGTAGTCCAGTTTTGACAGCCCTGCTACATACTGTGGGACATTAAAATTATGGTGTTTCTGGAAGGGATTTGAACTCAAAGAACGTAAGATGTTTAATTATATTATCCATCATGAAAATCAAGTGAAAACCTGATGAATATAATAATGCATATTCATGATAAACTCCATTTATTAAAAAAAAAAAAAAAGCAACCTCATTCGTAATAAGCATGTGAGCATCACCATTCTAGGCATGTAGTTCCTTTAAGCTCTACTATCATGGCAAATGAAAGGAAGATGTAAATAATGAATAAGACTCTATGCCATGCAGATAAAGGAGATCTAATAGAATCCTTGAAAGAGGACCTAGATGTATCATAACTATGCTAGGTTGAAGACACAAAGTATGACAATTCGAGATCTTTGTATGAATGTGGCCTGAAAAATGCAGTAAAGACTCTGGATAATACCATTGTCATGCCTTTACTAGTTACATATTAAGCTATGTAACTAGTAAAGACTCCAGATAATATCATTGTCATGTCTGTAAGCGGAAGAAATAATAAATATGATAAGTTGGTCTTGAATGTGTTACATGCACAAGTATTGTTGTTATAAAGGACATTGGATGCTTATGAGTTTATAGGAAAAAAGATTGACAAACTAATTCAATCTTATGTTAATTAAAACATATTGCTGTGACAAGGACGGTGGTAAATCATTTTCAAGAATAAACCAACATCTTGACTAATGATCCAAAAAAAAAAAAAGTTACTAATATCACTGCTCGAGAGAATGAGAATACCTTATACGTTGATATTTCTCATTATTGTGCTACCAGATGTTACCTTTAAGAATTATAACAACCCAATTCATGAAAATAACGAAATCTAGGAAGTGAAATCTTAAATGCTGAGGTATCATTTTGATATCACAGAATACATGTTACGGATCTATTTAATTAGAAGAACATGGCAATGTAAATTGATCATGTGAGTCAAATGAATCTAAATCCACGGCTCAATGTAACGTTACAAAGGATACTTGCTTCAATGAATATGTCGGAATGTTGAATGGCTAAAAAAACTAGGAGATAGATGTACCGTTAGTTCAAAAGCCTATATTTGCACTTTTGGATTGGGGAAGCGCTTTTTAAATCATAGTTATTTATCATTAAATGCTTACATATAAATCTCCAATATAGTTCTGTCAGCCGAATTCTCAAAAACTTAAGTTGGTACAAGCATTCCTACTAATATCAATGCTTGAGTAAGTTTCAATTCTTGATAGTTTCATATTTCTCATTTATGTGACATGGTGTACCCTTAAGAACTTCCAGGACCCAAGTTATGAAATTCATGAAATCCAGGAGTAATATGCTAAATGATGAGGTATCATTCTGATGTTATAGAACTCATGTCATGGGATCTATTTTATTAGAGAAATAGAAACAATGTAAATCGATCATCAGATTCATGTGAATCTACACACGAGTCATTGGTTGAAGACCCTTAGGGCAAAGGATACTTATACAACATCAGAAAGTATACTCGCATCAACTATGTTGAATAGCTAAAAAAACTAAGAGACAGATGTAATGTTCATTGAAAAGCCTATATTTGCAATTTCGAATTGCGGAAATGCTTTTAAGGTATAAAGAGTGATTTATTAAGAGATATCAAGATATAAATATAAGCTATAAGCTTTGAAAGCCAATCACTCAATAGGTCCAAATTACATTTTGTGAGCCAATTGTTCAATGAGCAATTGATGGAGACAGTAAAAGTAAATCCAAAAACTTACCTAACTCATTTATGAAGAAGCCTTACAAGGTACCAATCCCAGAAAAACAACTAATGGCATGGGCTTTCCTATTAAGTTACCTATGTCATTGTCAGGCCACACATTGTTGAACAAAATTACATATGCTAACTTGGTGTACCCCTCCTCGTCAGGTGCTATAATTTGAAAGAGGATGAGCTTTGCTCTTAATGAGTTTATATACCAATCAAGGTTTAGGGTGTTGAACTTGCAAGGCAACTCTTAATGGACCTACCTATTTGGGTTGGAAGTGTGGCTGCTTAATATGAAACTTGAGCATTCTCTTGAAAGGCTTACCTACAGAATGAATGAGTTCAATCTTCATCCACCCTAAAATCTAAAGCCTTTGGTAAACATTCTACGATCTAAATAACAATATGCAGGTCTACTCCTCATGACACTGTACACAAGTTTTCTTGATTTGCCCTATGAGTCAAACTATTTTGAAACAAGTAGAATTTGTTTCTTACAAATTAATTTTGGATACTTCTGAAATCTATTTTTATTGCAGAAGTATCTTGAAAAATGAATCTTGAATCGAGAGGGGCAAGGGCATGGCCAACGTGACGGGCTTGTGAATTTAGTGGGGCTTAACAATTCATGAGTTAATTATCGCAATTCAATTAGATATTTAGACATCACTCCCACCTTGCCACCACCCACTATCACATGTTAGCTCCACAAAACTCATTAGTACTGCTCCCACTAAACCTATTCAATTCGTAAACATTGAACCCCGATTAAATCTCATCTCTCACAAATGACTAGGTCAGGCATATATGAGAAACCAAACTAGCAATCACTCAGAATTACAATCTAATATGCCACGAAAGATACTACATGAGCCAATGAATTTCAATACGCTGACCTTGTTTCAATATCATTCCAAGAAAGCATTACAAGAGATTGATGGCATAAGTTAAATATAATCAGCAAGACCAGTCATTTGACACATCAATACATGCATAAATACATATGTTTGTGTGTGCGTGTAACCAACAAGTTACAGGTGATTGAAGTATGTGTGCTTACCTTCCTGCCACCATTTAGCTTCTTTCTCACTATTTGTCCTAGAGTAAGCTACAAAAAAATTAAAAAACGAAAGAAAAAAGATGAAGAATAAGCACATCTCGTATAATGAAATCAGGATGGTGCAATTATATTAACAACTGCACCTACCTTAACTGGGGCAGGTAACTCCTCAACTACATCTTGCCCCTTTGAATCATTTACAGGGGAGAGAGGATATGGGGAAGCAACTTCACTTGGAGTTAGTTGAGTGCCATCACTACTGCTAGATGCAGCACCCCTTCTCTTTGGTTGCCTTCTCTGTTGTCCACCAGGGGACCTCAAGAATTTCCAAGTAAACACTATTGCAATAGCAAACCCAGCGAGAGCTCCAATCGAACCGGCATTCTGAAAATTATCCATGCTCTAGCATTTTAAATATATTGCTTAGGCATTAAAAAAAACTGCTCCATGAAGCCTTTCCATAGCAATGAAGTCCATATCAAACACAAACACAAACATCAACTGATGCAAAATCACATGAATATTACGCTGATAAAAATAAACAACAACACATTGCAATTCAAGTATCCAACAAAATTCTCCAGAAATACAACAAAGCATCACAATTGACATTTTTGAAGGTGCAAACTGCAAACGTTGATTAGTAAGCAAGGCAATGGAGATCCTTAGGGTGCCTCTCAGAGGAGCATACGGATTCTTGATGATGTTTACAACAGATTGTGGATAAAGCTTTACAATTATTAGATTCCAAATGCAATGAAATCATGACCTAAGCTAGTGGTCAACACAAATATGGAGAAAGTTAATCGTCATGTTGATAAGGAGTTTTTGGATAATTTTGGGGGAGATGGGAGTATGGAATAAAGGAGAGACGTTGTGACTGTTTATCCTTTCCAGATCATCAGTTCTTATTAAACATTCTCCACGATGTTACTTCAAGAGCTCTAGGGCATTGTGACATGGGCGGTCTCTTTGTTTTGATTTAGGGCCGCCTCAAGTCATTCAGCTGCTGGTCAAGTAAAGCGCTATCATTATATTGATAGAGGGTTTCTGCGTAACACAAGGTGTGACTAATCACAAGAAAAAGGACAAAAATAAAAACCAGTAACTATTTAAAAAAAAGTGAATACCATTACATACACATTCCCCTTACAATACAGACACTGGAGGAAACATCATTAGAGTTGAAATCTTTATATGTTTTAATTCTTGCAAGAACAAAACCATCAATTAAGGCTGAAAAGATTAAACCCAAACAGAGCAAACCATTTGCTAGAAACAAATAACAATCCTCACAAGATAGCATTTTAACACATCAATCAAACAAGTAATCCATCACAATATTTATCTTTCTCCAAACACAGAAAACCTTTAAACAAATTATTACCCAATCTCTTAGATCCCACTAAATAGCTTCACATGAGCACATAAATGCCGAGAACCCTCAACTATAAGGGAAATAAAAACAAGAAAATACCTTGTGATTGCTTAGAAGCATCAATAGATTCGAGATTTTCACAGTCAAGTGCGTGCTGACTCTCTTTAACAGCAGAACCAGCTCGGCTGTTAAGGAATCCGCCATTAAAGAAAACCCACCGAATTGAAAGCTTCTCCTTGGAGAGGCTTGTAAACTCACACCATCTACGTGTCAAAGCCCACCGAGGAGGCGAAAAACCCTAATTTCACGCCTCTACCTTTAGTTAAAGAATGTTGAGAAAAGCCCTATGCTTTCTAGGTTTCTTCTCGTAGACAGTAACAGAAAAAACCCTAATTTTAGAGAGAGAGAGAGAGAGAGAGGAGGGACGATGTATTTGTC